GCCCGCCCGGCTGCCCTTCCCGGCGGCAGGCCCCCTGTTCCCTCCCCTACAGCGGCCTCAGGCTCAGACTCCAGCTCCCAAGAGTTCCAGATCCCAAAGCAGTCCTCTGGAGCCCAGACTCCCCCATCCTGAATTTCAACGGACTCTATTCCCCACCACTGATATGGACATCACCCACCTTTTGTCCTGAACTCCATCTTCCCCCCATCCTGAGCCCCTTCGGTAATCTGGACTCTGAGCCCCCAAACCTGGAACTCCACCCACCACAACCGCCTTCCTGAACTGTAAGCCTCCCGCACACTGTAAGCTCCCAGCCCTGGAGCTCCACCCCCGTAAACGGCCACCCCCCACCCCGAGACCTGACATTTACTGTTTATCTTAAACTGGGGTCCTGATGGGAGGCAGGGGAAGTAGGTGAGGGTCAAAGTGTCTGTAGGGAGCAGATGGGAATTGTGCAAGACCCAGGAGGTGCAAGGACACTTACCGGGGGGCTTTGGGGCCCTCAAAACAACAACAAAACCAACAACAACAAAAATTACTAAACAAATACGCGAAGACCAATAGAATATAACCAAAGACAAAAGGTACTTAATGGAAAATGATTCCAAGTGAAATCAGATGTTGAATTTAGCAAAGACTGCAGAAGTAGCTGTTAAAAATATGTTAAAAGAATTAAAGGAAATATGTTAATGAATGTGTAATTAAGTAGAAGCTGAAAAACAAAAATAGAAAGGAAACGAAAGAATTAAGGTAAAATGTTTAAAACCCGAAAAGATTAACACTAAACCAAAAAAACAGCAACATATAGAAACAAATTTTAGATGAAACAGATTTTTAAAATTACAAAACAGCAGGCCTAAATACAACCATATCAATAATTATACCACGTGTAAATAGATTAAAATTTCTTATCAAATATACCAATTGTCAGATGGGATAAAACATCAAGAAATAACTATATTCGACTAGTGGTTATCATATTAAGACAGTATAACTTTAGAAGAACCATCATTTCTAACAAACACAGCCATAACAATGTCATTTTCCTGTCCTGAAAATGTTACTTAGCTTGTCCAAACAAAACAAAAAAAATCACTGAGGGAAATAAAGATGTTTATAAATTTTTGGTTTAGGAATACATTTTAAAGGTAGACTTCCAATGTCACTAAATATATCAACATTTTGTATACCACATATGTCTTCTAGAAAGTACCCCATAAACTTTTAATTGAAAATATAGCTAAAATCCACGAGATATCCTCAGAAATAATCACAACTTTGATCTTTAATATCATACACAAAGACTGCTAAAATTTGTACAAAATATTTTTACTTTAAATAATTCTTTATTTTTTTCAATTACAGTTGACATACAATATTATATTAGTTTCAGGTATACAACCCAGTGACTAGAGATTATATAATTTACTAAGTCATTACAATATTAGTGAGTATATTCCCTGTTATACTTCACATCTGTGACTATACTGTAACTACCAATTTGTACTTATTCTCTTCACCTTTTTCACCCATCCTCACAACCTCCCTCCCATCTTGCAACTGTCAAAATGTTCTCTGTATCTATGAGTCTGTTTCTGTTCTGCTTGTTTCGTTTTTTTTTCAATTCAACTGATTTCATATATGTATTAACTGCCATTTCATTATGTTTCTGATCTTTTTTCCCCCCTTCTTCTTAAAGAAGACCCTTTAACATTTCATGTAATGCTGGTTTGGTGGTGATTAACTACTTTAGCTTTTTCTTGCCTGGGAACCTCTTCATATGTCCTTCGATTCTAAATATTAGCTTTGCTGGGTAGAGTAATCTTGGTTGTAGGTTCTTGCCAATCCTTCCTGGCCTGCAAAGTTTCACTGACAGTCTTATGAAAAACCCTTGTAGATAACTACAGTGGTACCTCAGTTTTCGAACATGTCCATTGATGAACATTTCGGTTTACAAACGCCGTAAACCCAGAAGTAAATGCTTCAGTTTTCCAACACACCTTGGAAGTCGAACATGTCACGCAGCTTCCACTGAGTGCAAGATCCTGGGCCTCGCTGTCGGCTGTTGACCCCTCAGTTTTCAAATGTTTCAGAACTCGAACGGCCTTCCGGAATGGATTACATTTGAAAACCGAGGTACCACTGCAGTGCTTTTCTCTTGCTGTTTCTAAGTCTCTCTTTGTCTTTAACCTTTGACATTTTAATTATGACGTGACTTGGTATGGGCTTCTTTGAGTTCATCTTGTTTGGGACTCTACGTTTCCTGACTTAGATTTTCAATTCCTTGTTCCCTGTGTTCTCCTGGCAAGTCCATGATGTGAAGGTTGGTATGCATGAAGTTGTCCCAGAGTCTCCTTACACTACCCTCACTTTTTTAAAATTCTTTTTTCTTTTTGCTGTTCTAATTGGGTGTTTTCTGTTTCCTTATCTTCCAAATCTCTGAATTGATCATCTGCTTCATCTCCTCCACTGCTGATTCCCTGTAGTCTTCATTTCAGTTCATGTATTCTTCATTTGTGATTGGTTCTTTGTTTTCTAGTTCCATTTTTTTGTTTCCTATATCTTTGATGAAGTTCTCATTAAATTCTTTAAGCATCCTTATAACCAGTATTTTGAACTCTGTATCTAGTAGATTGCTTGTCTCCATTTTGTTCAGTTCTTTTTCTGGAGTTTTGTTCTGCTCTTTCATTTGGGAAATGCTTCTTTGTCTCCCCATTTTGGCAGCCTACTTTGTGTTTGTTTCTGTGTGTTAGATAGAGCTCTACATCTCCAGGGCTTGGCAGAGTGGCCTTATGTAGTAGATGTCCTATAAGGTTCAGTGGCACAGCCTCCCCATTCACCCAAGCTGGGCACTCCAGGTGTGTCCCTGTGGGGGGGTGTACACCCTCCTCTTGTAGTTGAGACTTTATTGCTATTGGCACTTCAATGGGAATGATTTAACCCCAAGCCAATCAGCTGCAAGGGCTGGCGGTGAACACTGTGGTGAATTACCTGTGCAGGGGCCCACCCCATGAAGCAGGACTTACTTCAACAGGGCTCTGGTACCCACTGAGCCCAACCCTTGAAAATGTTGCCTGTGGAGTTGGTTGGGTGGTGCTTCAACATGGTCTGAAGCTGTCTACTGGGTGCACTATCTCTGGGGCTTCCCAGGAGGTGCAGGCCAAGGTCAGCCACTGCCTATGTTCTGTCTGAGGCCAGCCGGCATGAGCTCCAAAGTGATCTGCAGATTGCTACTACTTGGGAGGTGCCCAGAAGAAGCCAAGCTGCAAACCAAGGCAAACTGCCCCTAGCACAGGGCCTGAAGTCACTTAAGAGGATGGGTCATGCTGGCTTGAGAGTTTTTAGGAAAGTCTGAAGCAAGCATGAGCTAAGACAGAATGTTCATATAAAAAAAAGCCACTGGAAACAGCTTGGATAGGCCTGCAAGTTGGGTGGGGCAGGGTGTCAGGGAACCACCAGGGTGGGGCCAAGGGTGATAGTCAGATTGATAAGAGACTCAGATATGGCACCTGCCTGCCAGCTCTGTTGGGGAAGGGCTCAGAAAAGGAACAATGGCCTCTGCCAGCACTTCTGTCTGGGAGAAAGCTGCTGCACCCCAGCTCTCACCCTGATGCCAGACAATTCAGTTCCTTCCGTAAGTCCCTGGTGCCTTTTGAGCTGCTGCCCCAGTGCTAGAGCTCAGAGTGAGTGAGTCTGAGTAAGTCCATGTATAGGCCCTTTAAGAGGAACTGCCTGAGACTCCAGAAGCCCTCCATCTCACTCAGCCACAATCCCCAGTGGATTTTACAGCCAGAAATTATGGAGACTTCTCTTCCTGGCACTGGAACTCTGGGCTGGGGGCCCTGGTGTATGGCCTGGACCTCCCACTCCTCAGAAACGCCGCAGCCAAGATATTCCTCCAATTTTTACACGAGTGTGGGACCAGCCTGTTCTGCGTCTCTGCCCTTACTACCAGTCCCAATGTGGCTTCTTCTTTATATCCTTAATTGTAGGATTTCAGTTCAGCTAGATTTCAGATGGTTCTGAATGATGGCTGTTCTGTAGTTTAGTTGTAAGTTTGATGTAGTTGTGGAATGATGCAAGTACTGCATTTACCTACAGTGCCATACTAAACAGAAGCTGAGACTAAAATATTTCTAATAGCTTTAATTTGCTCTAGAAACCATGGTGTATATCCAGCTTAGGTAAAAAAAATCCTTCATTTTAAAGCAAAAGTCATAATTAAAGATCATTATGTCCTTGTTTTCAAATTCATGCCTGATTTATATGAGACGTTATGTTTTCGTAGGAAAAATGTTTGTGTCTCTTGAAATGATTAGGAGGAAGGGCAGAAAATAAAACTATCAATAACCTCATGACTTTTCTGTAAATCTTTTATACCTAAAGCAATAGAGTGAAAGAAATAGGAAGAACACTATTAATTTAGGAAAAAAGTAGTTACTCCATTCCTGGGTAATTAAGATTTAACACAAAAAAGTACCAAGACTGGGAAAGTGCTAATAAGCTATCAGAAAGACCAAGTTTTTCTTTCTAAAAAGCAATTTCTGATCAGCTTTGAAGAAACTAAATTGGTGCCTCTGTAACATGTGTTGGGTGTGGGGGAGGGGAGGCAGTGAGACCATTTAAAAGATGGGGCAGGAGGAAACTACAAGTGCAGACTGAATCTTTACAGTATATGAAGGCAAATAACTGAACTGTCAATTATATAAGCCAAGCAGTTAGTTAATATAATAAAATAACATTATCTCTAGGAGAATTACTAAGCAAAAAAAGTCAATTCTTATCAAATATCAAAAAAGCTGTTTGAAAATCTTTGAAGAGTTGTGAAGAACATAAAATAATTTTCACTGTATTAAAGAATACTGATAGAAATCCATTCTCGTATGGACTGTAATTAGAATTTTAATTTGAAAAAGAAGGAAAATCTTACCTGTGATGTGCTATCAGCCGCTTTCTTAACAGAAGCATCTATTGTTTTGCTTGTCTGGTTTTCTGAGGAGTCAAGAAAACAAAAAAATCAAAAACATCAACTATTTTTAAAAGCACCTAAAACTGTGAAAAGTTGGGTTTCACTTTATATACAACAATGCATGTAATTTTCTCCAATTTTTTTTTTGTCTGCCAACATATCACATACGTAAATGGACTCTCATAGAACACTGCCACAATATCTTTCAGAAGGGCAAATTCACAACAGCAAAAAAAATTTTCACATACCCATTGACTCAGAAATTTTAACTCTTATGCTAAGAAATATCTTAGAGAAACAACTTAAGATGTACATAACTTAAATGTTTTAACATGAGTGAATGGTTAAATAAAGTACCATTCTTCCATACTATACTTTTAGAAAAAAACTTAACCACATGGCAAAAATGTTATTAGAAAAATAATTACAAATACAGTGATTCTGAGAAAATGCACATGCATAATCTCAGTAGTTCAATCACAGATGATCTTTATTCATTTTTCAATTAGTTGTATTGAGTTTGTGGTACGTACACACGTACACACACACACACGTTAACAGTAGTTTTCTATTGTTGGAACATCCCATCCTTGCTTTCTGTAGATAAAATTGCTAGGTTAAAATATGGCATTCCTTTCCTTTGCAAATCTCCAGAACACATATAAAGTAAACCATTTGTTTAAAAACACACACACACACAAAAACACAGGAGACAGAACTATGTATTTCCATATATACATATATAAACCTGTAAAAAAAAATCAGAATAAACATGTTAAGTTTTTCTAGGCTACAGAAGTGAAAAGGAGGCCCTCACAATTTCTTTCCTAACCTATTTGATTCACCTTAGTTCGTACTGTATGAAGAATATAATATGTTATTTACTTTTTTAAAAAATCTTTAAATTACTTCATTTATAATGAATCAGCACCTGTTTTGTTGGTACTGTGGAGTTCCTGAAATACTACTTAAATAAAAATTGAATCCCAAGTTACTGATCCTACATGGCATAGTATTAAAATATACTGATGACATTACCAAAACACCAGTAATTGACTACCAAAGTCTGTTAGAGTACATTACTTTAGATTTGAAATTCATTTTCAAGTGAATATAAAAGGTAACTTCAGAAAAGCAGATGAAGAGGCTTCATTTTTATTTTCGGTAGAAATATCCTCATACAAAAAAATTCCTCAATACTCAGAAAAGATATAGACTGCTTAATAAAACTTTAATATACATAAACACACATACACACAAGCACACACACATATTTATATTTTAAATTACTATAAGAGTTTTGTTACCCAGCATGATCCTTTCTTTGACCTAATTGTCTCAAGGCTAAGAGTTAATTATTCAAAGAACTGTAATAATATTCCTTAAGTAGATTTTCAATTAATAGCCCCTGCCCCTTTGTTACAGACTTTCTTCATTCTTAATGTATGATTTTACAGTTTCACTGCATCTTTTTTGTTTTCTTTTACTATAATATCTACTTTAGATGACTTCTGAAAGTAAAAAGTTATAAAATCAAACAATCAATCTATAAAACTATTCCGGGTGTGAAATCAGAAATTGTACCTCAAAATCTATCAATCATTTTGGAAACAATTCTATCTTATTGTTCTTATTTTTAACAACACTGCATTTTTGCCAACCATAAAAGTTTTATAGGAGTGCCAATTAGTAGTGTCCCTTAGTAGGTGCTGGACAACTGTATGAAAATGAATGGAATGCAAAACTTTTTAAATCATTGTCACAACACTCTCTCTCATCTAGATCACTACAAGAGCCTCCTAATTGGTCTCCTTAACTCCATTTCATCCATTCCAATCCATTCCCTCACTGCAGCCAGTGGTCAAGGATGTCACACGCCTTGAAGCAAAAATCCTTTGACCCTATTTTCCACCATCTTTCCATTTATTATATCATATATTTGCAGACCTCTCATATCCACTCACAGAAACCTGCATATCTAATTCAACATATTTATAGTTAATTACTTACTTAAGAGCCAAGTTTCCTATTTGATCATAAGCTCAGTGAGAATAGGGAATATTTTACACATTTCTGTGTATCTGCAGGACTTTAGAATACAGGCATTCAATACTTCATGAATGACTAACATTAGCTATAACTTAAGCCCTATATTTCTGAGTAGTCTCTAGGATGATTTTTACTTTACTATAAACAGAAAATACTGACTTACTCTATGAGGATATATGAACTATAACAAAATACATACGAATGCATGCAGTCTGCTTAGATAGCATATGTTCTCATTAAGTCAATAATACCTACATAAGTATAGGACTTTAAAAGTTTTAAACATTATGTAATTAATTTATCACATTATGTATTAAAGTTTGGCTTCAACCTCATATTAAGCCAAAATTTGATACTGGGCTTCAGCTTAGGTTCTGGGAAACCTAAATGCTTACTTTAATGTCATTTATAGCACTCCTGAAATTATGCATGATAACAGGACTTCATTCTAATTAACATTACGAATGTCATAAAAAAAAGTTTATTATTCCCATTTATGGTTAATATCTAATAATTCACTTTCAAATGTATGTAAGCGTTCTAAATAAAACTTGAGATGAAGATGTCAATATAATTTATATATTAAAGTACATATAAATGTGTATTAAATACATGTTAAAATAGAAAATTTTAAGTGTAAGTATAAATGTACATTATCACAAAAATAGAATGTACTAATTAATGATTGTGAAAACTATTCATTTTATATACAAAAAATTTTTAAAGTAATTAAATAAATGCAAAATGGACTAACACTGATTACAAATAATGGAGTGCATGAGCTAGATAACTTTGGGGAAAATATTCACTTTGTGTCAACAAATGTCCATAAAAAATTTAAGAGAATAGCATAATGAAATATTATAATTCTGATATTTATACAAGTGTTTAGGGTACTAGCATTCATAACATTAAACAAAATTTTTTACGGCCATGGTCAATCAGGAAAAGTTCTATATTTAAGAACATATCTTGTGACCATGAATTAATAACAATGTCAACTTGGGATCAATATTTCATAAAGAAGGAAAAACACATAAAACAATGTCCATGATAAATATTCTTCCACCTGCTTCTTTAAAAATACTAATAATGAGAAGAAAAAGAAATCAGAGAAAAATGAAGTAACCTAAAATCTTGCTCATTTACTGACAGTTAAAAGCAAGCATCTTTTAGTATCGCAAACATGAATTCGAGTGTCTAAACAATAATGTAGTAACAGATAATGCTAAAAAATAGTTACTGTACTATGCAAACATTTTATTTTAAGTACTAACATTAATAACAATTGCATTTTTATATAAAATTTCAGATTTACTCTTAAATCCCAGATGTTAATTACATGAGGGTGATATTCAGATTCAGTCCACTATTATTATTTTTTTAATCCTCACCAAAGGACATGTTTATTGAGAGGAAAAGGGAGGGAGGGAGGGAGATACCAATGAGAGAAAGACACATGCACTAGCTGCCTCTCATACGTGCTCCAAAGGGCCAAGGACTGCACCCACAAGCTAGGTATGTGCCTTGACGGGGAATCAAACCTATGAACTTTCTGTGTATGGGATGACTCTCTAACCAACCAAGCCACACTAGCCAGGGCCCAATATTATTTTGATCTGCCTCTCATAAGCTACTCTTTCAACAATTCTGTGAAATACCATCACTGTTTTATATAAGAAAATATACTCAGAGGGCAAGTACACTAAAGTAATGGCTACATCAGAAATTCTTTTAAAAGGCTCTGTATATCACTTACAAAAGTAGTTTTGTACTTTAGAATCTGTGTCTTATATTGCATGGTCACTTACTATATCAATATGATAGCTACTATAGTAATTTCACATGATGTCTACTCATTCTTGCTATTTTTCCAAAAGTGGTGGGTATAAATGTAAAGTCAGAAATGAAGAATAAGAAGCAACTTCAAGAATACAGACCACCTTTCTACACTACATACAAGAATAAACTCAAAATGGATTAAAAACTTAAACATAAGACCCCAAATCATAAAACTACTAGAACAAAACATAGGTAGTAAATTCTCTGACACTGCTCTTAATAATATTCTTTCTGATATATCTACTCAGAAAGGAAAACAAAAGAAAAAATAGATCAATGGTATTATATCAAACTAAAAACTTTTTGTACAGCAAAGGAAACCATTAACAAAATGAAAAGACAACCTACTGAATGAAAGAAGGTATTCACCAGTGATACATTCGGTAAGTGCTTAATATCCAAAATTTATAAGCAACTCTCACAATTTCACACACACAAACAAAACAATTCAATTTAAAAATGAGCAGAGGACCTGAATAGATATTTCTCCAAAGAGGACACAGATATGGCCAACAGACATATGAAACGATGCTCAATGTCACTAACCATCAGTGAAATAAAACTTAAAACTACAATGAGGACCCAGCTGGCATGGCTCAGTGGTTGAGCATCAACCTCTGAAAACCACAATGAGATGATATCACCTCACACTGTAAGAATGGTTACAGAGAACAAACTGATGGTGGCCAGATGGGAGGAGGGTTGGAAGGCTAGGTGAAAAAGGTGAGGGGATTAAGAAATACAAATTGGTAATTACAAAATAGTCACAGGGATGTAAAGTATAGCATAGGGAATACAGTCAATAATATTGTAATAACTATGTATGGTCTCAGGTGGTTACTCAACTTATCGAATCACTTTGTAAATTATATAAATGTCTAACTACTATGCTATATCTGAAACTAATATAAAATAATACTGAATATAAACTATAATTGACAAAAAGAATGCATACAAAATGTATGCTTTCTACGAACAAAAAAAGTTTAAAAGATTTTAAATCAAGCTCTCCTTTTTAAAAGACTTCAAAGTACATAGATATATACATACATAATCATTTAATATGTCATAGGGGAAAATACACAACAGAGAAAACAAAAAGCAATCAAACATTTCATAGTAAATTATAGAGGACAGAAGCTATTTTTAAACTGTTCAAATTTGGAAGATGTGAGTGATGAGCACACAAAGGATTTTTCCAAATAGGTAGGGAAAATATGTGATGTTTATTTTCCTCATAGAAGCATATATTACGTCAATTAGATACTTTAAATTTGTTCTATTCATATATTCCTGGCAAATGTATTATAAAAGTAATTCATAATGCTTGCTACAAAACCTAAATGAAAAAGTCACCCAGATTAGAAAAATTCCTAAAAGATAAATACGAATGCTAGCTTCTCACTCAAAATAAACTCTCAAATCCCATTTTAACAACTTCATTTCTTATGTAACCAAAAACTTAATAAAAATAACCTCCAGGATATTCTATTTACTGTGTTCTTCCAATAATGCTAGCCACTCCACAAACAAACACAAAAGTTCCATTATCTATAGGTCATTAACATGCTTTCATTTCTATTATTAAACCTACGCAGTGACTTACCAATTCTAGGGGTAGTAGTGCTGCTTTGTTCTGCAGAAGATGAAGTACTAAAAGCAGAAATTGGAATTTTCATCTGTATAGGGCCTCGATTATTTGATGGACTATAGAGCCCTGATGGGCCTACCGTGGGTAAAGAAGTCCTTGTGGCTTGTACAATAGAGTGTGCTGTTGGGACAGCCTGTACAGCAAGTGTTGTTCCTAATGGTGCAGCACTGGCAGGAGAGTTCCTTTGAATACTAGAACTGGGCACAGAAGGAACGTTGTTTGGTTTAGTGGGGTTTGGCAAGGATGGCAAGGATGGCAAAGACACTGGATTTTTGGTAAGACCACTGACTGTTGGTGAGCTCTGTACAGAAATGAATTCAACATTGCCAGATGGCTGATTAGTCACTAAAGTTCCTGGATGGCTCTGTAGAAGTTGAGGCTGGGAAGATACAGCAACAGGTACATGCAAAATCACTGGTAACGACTGTAAAGAGATTGTAGGTTGGGGATTTCCACTAGGCACCTGAGTAGTAGCAACTACTGTAGCTGTGTTGGGTGCTGGAAGAATTGATGTTGCTGTCAGAGAACCCGAGGTCACTGGAGTCTGCAATTTAGGTTGACTACTGACAACTGTTGGAGGAGTGACAAGGTTGGTTGAAGACACTATAGAAAGAAAAAAAAAGTCTCAGTTTAAATGCCTATCTCCATTTATCAGCTAGGATAATATAGCACAATACAAACTTAATGCATTGCAATAGATACAGTAAAGTCCTTCATAATGAAATTTTTTCCAGGTTTAAATTCTTGAACGTCTTAGAATTAAGTTTGTACAAACATTTTTGTATCTATAATTGATACAATATGAAAACATCAGATGGTTTATGATTAATAGGGATGACTGCTATCTCATTATCAAAACAGTTTCTGAAAATGACTATAATCACTTCAGGGTAACTGGAAAAATAACTAAAAACACTGAAAACTTGGTAAAATTGTATAGATATTTTTGAAACTACACTAAAGACATTAAAAATGCTTTAGGATACTGACAATATATAAACTCAAATAGAAAGTCTAGTAAGCATCATCACTATTAATGAATAATAGGTAAACTTGGTCGTGTATTTAAACATTTGGACCATGTGAAACCTGATCTGTGGATCAAGTTGTATTGAATTGCCTAAGAGAGGAACTAGACATAGAAGGATGCCTGTACTGACACTCTATTGACATTATATAATATGGAAGATGGCAGAGTGAGGATGGGAGATGAACTAAGAAATAAGGGAGCTAATCCCAAAGACCAGATAAAATCAAAATGATGTTCACTGGAGTTTTATAGTAATTTTGGTTCAGCTGTTTGTGTTTATTTTCATTTGAACAGGTTTGAAATAGATGACCAAGTATCTTTCTCATTGATCTGTAGTCTTTATTCCCAAAATCAAAGGCACACCTAGAGCAGCAATTCTCAAGGTATGGTCCAAGGGGACAACTGGGGGTAAATGAGACCCCTTCAGAAGCTTGCAATATCAAAACTATTTTCTAACAATAATAAAACATTATTTTACTTTTTCACCATGTAGATATTTGCACTGATGGAACAAAAGCAATGTGAATAAAATTTCTGATGCTTTAGTACAAAAATCAAAATAGTGATACTAAACTATCACTACATTCTTTACCATCACATGTTCATAGTAAAAAGCAAACAAAATTAGCTTCACTTAAGAATGTCCAGGATAAAGTAGTTCATATTACTTTTAATAAATCTCAACCACTGAATACAGGTCTTCTTAATATTTTGTGTAAAGAAATAGGAAGTACAAATAAAGCATTACTGCTACATGCCAAAGTGGGATGGCTGGCTCGAAGAAAAGTACTTTATGATTATGTTGTAGGGCAAGCTAACAGCCTTTTTCATGGAAGTCCATTTTTACTTGAATGGATGACTTACAGACATACTACGGTTATTCACACTTGGGTATGCAGCAAACCATTTCTTGAAAATAAATAAAGTAGCCCTGGCCAGTGTGGCTCAGTGGTAGGAGCACTGGCTCACACACCAAAGTGTTGCAGGTTCTACTCCCAGTCAAGGGCATGTACCTGCGTTGCAGGTTTGAGCCCTAGCCCCAGTCGAAGCACAGGCGGGAGGCAACCAATCGATGGGTCTCTCTCACATCAATGTTTCTCTCTTTCTCCTCTTCTTCTCCCTCCCTTCCTCTCTCTCTAAAAATCAATGGAAAAATATCCTCGGGTGAGGATTAACAACAACAAAAGAAAAGAAATCAAGTAAGACAGTCACTTCAAAGAAAACAACAAACAGTACTTATTGAAATAATAAAATTTGAGTTTTAAAAACAAAATTTAGAACTTTGGAAAAACATATCTGCCTCTGAGTCCATGGCAGCTTCCCAAATCTAATTGTTAAAGACTTTTCTGAGAAGAATAATAGTGAAATAAATTGATGTAATTAAAAAAGAAAAAAATTATTAATGAGGTGTGACAGTATTTGGAAGATTTAGGTAAGTCAGTGAGCATTTTCCAAAATCAATGAATAGTATTAGTAAAAGCTCCACCCAACTACAAGACAGATAAATGCATTACAATAAAAAAGTTAGAAAAGTTCACTGGCAGGATTTCAGAGTCCACTTTGCAACTAACTTTTAATAAACTACTTACCTGACTTTCAAAGAAAATATCCACAATTCTCTAAAAGAGCTAGCCATTTCCTAACTACATATTTGTATGAGGCTGATTTGCTTCATATACTTTAATCAAAACAACAAACTGCAACAAATTGAACGCAGATATAGATATGAGAATCCAACTTTCACAAGCCACCTTAATGATTTCAGTGAGTCATACAAGAAATTTGTAAAAATGTAAGAAAATCACAATATTTTTCACTACTTTTTAAAGCTTACAAATAGTTATTTTTCATTAAAACATTATTTGTGTTACAAAATAGATGTTTACTTTTTTAAAGAATGTTTTATTGATTTTTTTCTTTTTTTAGAGAGAAAGGATTTCAGAGAGAGGAAAAGAGAGGAGGAGAGAGGAACATTGATGTGAGAATGGAACATCAATCAGCTGCCTCCTGCACGCCCCCTACAGGGGATCAAGCCTGCAACCCAGGCATATGCCCTGACCGGGAATCAAACTGGCAACTTTTTAGTGCAAGGGACAACACTCAACCAACTGAGCTACATGGGCCAGGGTGGTTTCTATTATCTTTAAATGAATAAGCAAACATTCAAAAATTGTTTAAATTTATATATATATATATATCTTTACTGACTTCAGAGAGAGGAAGGGGGAGAGAGAGACAGATGAAACATCAACGATGAGAGAATAGTCATTAATCAGCTGCCTCCTACACACACCCCCCACTGGGGATCAAGCCCGCAACCCAGGCATATGCCCTGACGGGGAATCGAACCAACCGTGATCTCCCGGATCCTAGGTCGATGCTCAACTGAAAATTGTTTTAATTTTTACTACAGTAAATATCAACTAATGTAATCCACATAAATAAAAACTTTGGGATTCTTAGTAATTTTTTAAGATTATACAGGGATATGGTTGTCCAGAAAGTTTGAGAAATCACTACGGTGGAGATTTCAATCTCTACATTTCCATGCATAAATGTAATCCTAATGTTTAAATAAAATTTTATACTTAGCACTCAATTTTAGAACAATATGCTCAGTTTCTTATCAAATTTCATCCTCAAATAAATGTGAAAAGAAAACCAAAGCCTTCAATTACTAAGAAAATGTATGTCAGTGTTAAAGAATATTATTACCTGTATTCACAGGGGTTTGAAAGGATGGTGGTGTATTCTCGCTTACATTTCTTTTGGACTCCAGCAACTGTCTCACTGTACCTGTATTTCTAAGAAATATATATACACAAAAATAGTCAATCAAGCATATACCATTCTGATGAACATCAATTTATGTATAGATAAAGCAGTGGCTCATAGGAAAAAAGTATGGATAGACTTGGGTATTGCAGCGCTAAACTTCAAGTGAATGCACTGAGGGAAAGCTAACAGAGACTTCAGAAAGCTGAGGGTGGGGTAGGGGAGGGGGTCCTATGGCATTAGGAAAGAATATTACTCTTATATTCTAATGTCCTCAATACTTTTACCTGAAAACCAAATGTAGGTCCTAATATCGGCAGACATTAGTTTTTATCACCTCTGACCAAAGCATATCTCAATTACCTGAGAGAATACTATTTAGTACAAATGATTTTAAAAATCAGCAATGACTAAAGAAAGCCTTATAATAAATTAGCAAAAACAATATCCGCAGATGAAAAATGATAACAAAGCAAAAAAGAAGAAAATATACTTAATCCAGTATACCGCTTATCTCTACACAAATACGTAAGATTAGATTCCAAGATGTTTCTGCAAAATAAAATCAGAACCTTGTTCTCTTATTTAAAAACTTGACAGACTTGTTATTAAAAACCCTTGCACAATACTGGTGGAAATGTAAATTGGCGCAGCCATTATGGAAAATGGTACAAAGCTTCCTCAAACGTTAAAAATAGAACTACCATATGATCCAGCAATATGGATATTTATTCAAAGAAAACAAAAACACTAATTAGAAAAGATATATGCACCCCTATTTTCATTGCAGCATTATTTAGAATAACTAAGATATGGAAACAACCTGAGTGTCCATCTATGGATGAATGGATAAAAAAACTTTTGTACACACACACAAAGGAATATTATTTACTCATAAAAAAGAATAAAATATCCCCATATGACCAACATGGATAGACCTTGAGGGCATTCTGTTAAGTGAAATTAGCCAGACAGAGAAAGACAAATACCATATGATCTCTCTTATATGTGAAATCTAAAAAAAATTTTTTAAATTAAAAAAAGTTAAACTTGTACAGAGGTGGGGAGAGGGTTGGTGGGGGGGTTGGTAGTAGCCAAAGGTGGGGGAGAGAAATGGATGAATTATTTTCTGTTTTTACTTTAGCTAAACTGAATTTTTTTTTTAAGGCAGAAAAAGAGGGGAAAAGAGGGGAAATAAATAGAATGTTTATTATTCTCACCTATAGGGCACATTGTTATTGCTGTTGACATCAACTATAGACTTTCCTGGTGATACAGGTACAGGTGGGTTTGGTGGATTCTGAGGGAGAAAAATACCAAGGTAAAATAAAACCCAATATATAACAAATCTTTAAAACTAAGACCTTAAATGTTTTCTCAATATATTATCTGTTATTTCTATAATAGAGTGAAAAATATTAATAGTTGACACAAAAATTTGAATCTTGAAATTGCCACTTGTTGGCTGTATCTTAAGCACAATACTTAATCAATGGAAACAAGTACTTATCAAATGAAAGAGGAATATAATAATTCTTATACCTCAGATTTTTGAGATGAGCAAATAAGTAAAAAATATAAAAATGGTTTACATGCTGTAAGGGTTCAATAAACAAAACAATAAAGATATAAATAATAAACCAGAAACACTCATCCAATAAATTTCTAGTAGATATTATACATATACTATACTAGGCATAGCAGGCACTGAATTACCATCAGAAACTCAACAACATACATATTTATTCTTTCTTAGGAGCAATGGATTATCAATTAAGTGGCATCTTAGGTCACAAATCAAAATTCTCAAACCAAAATTATTTTTACACCCAGCCGAGCATGGCTCAGAGGTTGAGCATCGACCTAGGATCCAGGAGATCTCAGTTCCATTCCCAGTCAGGGCACATGCCGGGTTACAGGCTCAGTCCCCAGACAGGGGCATGCAGGAGGCAGCCGATCAATGACTCTCTCATCATTGATGTTTCTCTCTCTCTCCCTCTCCCTTCTTCTCTCTGAAATCAATAAAGATATATTTTAATATATATATATATATATATTTACAACTTTTGTTTAAAAAAATGACTACTTGCCACTGTGTGACATAATTTCATAAAAATGTTTCAATTCTAAATTAAGTATCAACTAATTTCAGCCTTTCCCCCAAAATGGGAATATAGAAATGAAATTGTAATATCTACATATTAATTACCATTATTTGGGTCTCCATCAATAATGACAGGATCATCATTTAGTTCTTAAACTGACCAAAAAAAAAAATTTCACTCAAGACTTAATTAAGTGTAATAATAATACATGTTAAACCAAAGGTTTAAGTGTTTAGGATCACATCAAGCAGATACCACTAATCACTCTTCCTTTCTGAACAGCAAATATATACTGCTTTTAATAGGAAAAAAAGATAATTATTTTTTAAAATATATCTTTATTGATTTTGGGGGGGGGGCATCAATGATGAGAGAGTCTTCATTGATCAGCTGCTTCCTGCACACCCCCAACTGGGGATCGAGCCTGCAATCTGGGCATGTGCCCTGACCAGGAATTGAACTTCAATCTCCTGGATCCTAGGTCGATGCTCAACCGCTGAGCACACCCAGCCAGGCGGAAAATGGGAAAATTTTAACCAACTAGTACAGCACTGTACTAGTTATGCATATAAATAGACAAATGACAGAATCAAAATAAACTGCTCTAAAGGTGTTAAAAATCTTACTAGGGACACAAAGACATTTCGAACAAATAGAAAAGCACATTAAAATAACTGTACTGTCAATAAAAACACATTTTAAAAATGTGGCCCAATCAAGAGAAAATTTCCCACTTGTAGCATTTACTTCAGGAAAGAAAGAGAAGAGTGGAATTTGCATGTAACATTCTGCCTCTTGGGGGTACTACCCAAAGCACTGGTTTCTGTATCACCTGACCTGGCAAAAGTGGCATATACTTAATGTTCCAGATAAGAACAAAGGCAGGTTTTTCCGCTTGGTACAGCAACAGAAAAATTACAGTACAGAGACAGCAGGGGTAATTCCAAAATCATGGCTTACAAAACCTACACGGCAATATGGAAGACAGATACCAGAGGCAGCTGCTGAGTAAAAACAGACAAACCTCTTCAGAGGGAAATTTACATGCACAAACTCAGAGATGATTCATCTCTAGAAAAGGTCTGAGAGGCCCCAGATTATCCATCTGGGTTGATTAGTAAAGGTCTTCCTCTGTACAAAGATATTTTGAAAAGAAAAGGAGAGGAGGCTGTTGTTTCAATTGCCCAAATTTCAGCAAAAGAGAATTAGACACACAAAGAAACAAAAAAATATGGCCCAATCAAAGAAATAAATCTCCAGTAACTGACCCTAAAGAAACAAAGATCTGTTAATTACCTAACAAAGAATTTTTTTAAAGTGACATTAAGATGGCTCAATAAGATAAAGGAAAACATACACAGAAAATGAAATGAAATTAGGGAGATGACGCATGAAGAAAATGAGAACACTTAACAATAAGATAGAAACTTAAAATGGAACAAACAGCCTGGCTGGTGTGGCTCAGTGATTGAGCACCGACCTAGGATCCAGGAGATTCCACTTTCAATTCCTGGTCAGGACACATGCCCAGGTTGTAGACTCAATCCCCAGTAGGGGGAGTGCAGGAGGCAGCCAATCAATGACTCGCTCATCACTGATGTTTCTCTCTCTCTCTCTCTCTTTCCCTTCCTCTCTCAGAAATCAATAGACATAAAATAAATGAAACACCTCTTTTAAAAATAAATAAATAAATAATAAAATGGAACAAACAAAAATCCCGAAGCTAAAAGATAACTGGATTTACAGAAAAAAAATTCACCAGAGGCGATCAACACCAGATGGTACCAAGCAAAATAAAGACTAAGTGAACCTGAAGAAAAGTCATTAAAATTATTATTTAAGTGAAGAGAGCCTCAAGGATTTATGAGAAACCATTGAAAGAACCAATACATGAATATAGGAGTCCAAGAATAGAAAGAGAGAAGACAGCAGAGAGCCTACCCGAATAACAGCCAAAAACTTCCCAAATTTGAGGAATTAAATTGACACAAATTCAAAAGTTCCAAAAACTCCAATTAGGCTAACTCAAACAGATCTACATTGAGAAACATACTCAAGCTTGTCAAAGTCACAGAGAATTTCAAAAGTAGCAACAGAAAAGAGACTCATCATATTCAAGGCAAGGTAGCTCCCATAAGATTACTAGTGATTTTTCTCAAGCAGAAATCTAGCAAGAATACTATATCCAGCAAAACTTTCATTCAAACTGATGGTGAAATTAAGGCTTTCCTAGATGTAGAAAGCTGAGGAAGTTCATCACCATTAGATCTGCCATATAAGAGCTGCTAAAAGAAGTAATTCAAGTAAAAATAAAAGGACACAAGACAGTAACATGAGAACTTAATAAAACATGAAATTATCTGGTAAAGATAAATACACAAATAAATACAGAATCCTGCATTACTGTAAAGGTGGTGCATAAATCATGTTTAATTCTGGTATATGATTTAACCATAAAAAATACTGTAAGTCTAGGTTAAAAGATATACAACATAAAAAGATGTAATGCATGACATCTATAACAAAGTAGTAAAGATGTAAAGAGTAGAGTTCTTATATATGATTGAAGTGAAGTTGTTACCAGTTTAAAATAGTTATAATTTTTAAAAATAGTTTATGTAATTCCCATGGTGGCCTCAGAAGAAAGAGAAGATACATAAAAGGGAATTAGAAAATAATTAAAAATTTTTTTCACTACAAAAAAAAATCAGTGAGACATAGGAAGTAAACAAGAAAGGATGAGAGAGACATAACAGTTCCAAGACAATTAGGAAATAATTAACAAAATGGCAATAATAAGAGATCCCCTACTGCAATTACTTCAAAACCAAATAGATTAAATTATCCAAAGAAAGACATGCATTAGCTTAATGGATTAAAAAAACACACCCCAGGATTCTGCTATATGCCGTTAACAACTGACACACTTTAGATCTAAAGACACACACAGGCCGAAAGTAAAAGAATGGGAAAAAATATTTCATTCAAATGGTAAGCAAATGAGAGTAGAGGTGACCATACTGACGTAAGAGAAAGAATATTTTAAGAACAAATTGTCACAAGAGACAAAGAAGGGCACTATATAATGATAAAAGGGTCAATTAACCAGATGTAACATTTATAAATATTTATGCATACAACATTAAGACCCCCAAAATACATGATGTAAAAATTGACAGAATTAAAGGAGAAAGAGATAGCAACACAGTAACAGGAGCATTTAATATATCATTCTATATAATAGAAAGGTGGTCAAGACAAAAAAATCAATAAGGAAACAGCAGGCCCTGGCTGGGTGGCTCAGTTGGTTAGAGCATTGTCCTGTACGCCAAAAGGTTGCAGGTTCGAATACTGGTCAGGACTGTATGAGAGGCATCCACTCGATATTTCTCTTTCACACAGATGTTTTTCTCTCTCTCTCTCTCACTTCCTTCCCCTCTCTCTAAAATCAATAAAAACTTATCTTCGAGTGAGGATTTAAAAAGATAATACGGAAACAACAGAACTGAATAATACTAACATCAAATGGACCAAACTGATAAATGCAGAAATTTTCCCCCAAAAAAGAACACACATTTTTCTCAAGCACATATGGAACATTCTCCTGGATAGATCATATACATATTAGGCCACAAAACGAGCCTTAACAAAATTAAAAAGACGAAAATCATATCAAATACATTTTCTAACTACAATGGAATAAAACTAGAAATAAAAAAGTCACAAATATGGAAATTCGAAAACACCTAAAAATCCAGTGGGTAGGAAAAAAAAAAAATCACAAGACATATTAAAAAATATCTTGAGACAAATGAAAACAAAAATCCAACATACCAAATGTATAGGAAAATTAATGCAACAAAAGTTGCACTAAGTGGAAAGTTTTATAGCACTAAATGCTTACATTAAAAAAGATCTCCAAGGTTATTATGCTAAGTAAAGTAAGCCAATAAGAGAAAGACAAATATCACATGATCTCACTTATATGCTGAATTTAATGAAAATAAACTGATTAACAAAATAGGTCTGGACGCATGGATACATGGAACAGACTGACAGATCTTAGAGGGGAGAGGGGTGGCAAGGGATGGGAAAAGATTAACCAAAGAACATATATGCATATATGCATAACCAACGGACATAGACAATAATGTGGTAAAGGCCTGGGGTGGGGAGGGGCTGGGTGGAAGGGGGCAAAGGGGCGAAAATTGGGGGCCATCTATAATATTGTCAGTAACAACAACAAAAGATCTCAAATCAACAACCTAACTTTACATTTCAAAGAACTAGAAAAAGAAAAACATGCTAAACTCAAAGTTAGAAGGAAGGAAATAATAGATTACAGCTGAAATAAATAAAATAGAGAACATAAAATCAATAGAAAAAAAACAAAATTAAAAATTAGAATTTTTAAAAATCAACAAAATTGGAAAACTCACCTAGATTATCTAAGAAAAAAGAGAACACATAAATAAAGTCATACATGAAGAGGAGGCATTATAAATGATTCCACAGAAACAACAAGGATCATGAGAGACTACTATGAGAAATTATATGCCAACAAATCAGATACTCAGAAAAAATGGATAAGTTCCTTGAAATATACAACCTACCAAGACTGAATCAAGAAGAAATAAAAACCTTTTAAGGACCTAAACAAGTAGGGAGACTGAATCAGTAATGAAAAACATCCTAACAACAAAAAGAGCCAAGAACAAGATGGCTTCACTGGAAAACTATTAGACACTAAAAGAATTAACAACAGTCTTCTTCAACTCTTATACAAAACTGAAGATGGAATACATCCAAATTTATTTTATGAGGCCCACATTATCCTCGTACCAAAGGTATATAACACCACAATAAAAGAAAACTCTAAAAATCCTCAACAAAAGACTAATGTCCAAATTCACCAACACAGGAAAAGGATTATACAACATGACCAAATGAGATTTATCTGTGGAATGCTCAGGTAAGTCGATATATGAAAATCAATGTAACATACCACATTAACAAAATGAAGGCCAAAAAACCACATCATCTTCTCAATTGTTGCACAAAAAGCATTTGACAAAATTTAACATCCTTTCATGATTAAAAAAACACACAACACTCAACAAATTAGGAATGGAAGAAGTCCAATCCACACCAAAAAAAATGTTCAAACTAATAAATTCAGCAATGTTGCTGGGTAGAAAAACCAATGCACAAAAATCAGTTGTATTTTTACACACTAACAATGAACAATTTGAGAAAGAAATTAAGAAAATAATCCCATTACTGTATGATCAAAAGGAATAAAATATTTAGGAGTAAACTTAACCAAGAAGGCAAAAGACCTTTACAATGAAAACTGCAAAACTGTTGCAAGAAATAAAAGGCACGGATAAATAGCACCCAGAGTGATGAAAATTTCAATGTAATTCCTATAAAATTCACAGTGTCTTTTTTTTTTTTTTTTTTTTTTTGCAGAAATAGAAAGTAGCATCCTAAAATTGATATGAAATCTCAAAGGGCCCTTAACTGCTAAAACAATCTTGAAAAAGAAGGTTGGAGGTATCATACTTCCTGATTTAAAGATATGTTATAAAGCTACAGTAATCAAAACAGTGTAGTACTTACTAGCATAAAGACTGATATACAGACAAATGGAATAGAGAGCTGAGAAATAAACTCTCACATATCTGGCCAAAAGATCTTTTAACAAGGATATCAAGACTACACAGTGTTGGATAATCTTTCAACAAATGGTGTGAAAATTGGATATCAAAATGCAAAAACAATGACTTTCAGCCATTACACCATATATAAAAATTAATTCAAAATGGATTAAAGACTTCAATGTAAGACCTACATCTATAAAATTCCTAGAAGAAACATAGGGGAAAATCATTCATGACACTGGATTTGGTAATAATTTCTTGAATATGACATCAAAAGCGCATGCAACAAAAGCAAACTTCACATCAGAGGTAACAATCAACAGAATGAAAAGAAAACCTATGGAATGGGAGGAAATAGTTGGAAATCATATATATATATATGGGGTTAATATCCAGAATATATAAAGAACTCCTACAACTGAACTATAAAACTAGTAACCTAATTTAAAAATGGGCAAAGGATCTGTACAAACATTTCTCCAAAGAAGATATGCAAAATGGTAAACATATAAAAAGATCTCCACATCATTAGAGAAATGGAAATCAAAACCATGAGTTACAACTTCACATCCATTAGGATAGACAATCATAAAAACAGAAAACAAGTGTTCACAAGGATGTGGAGAAATTGAAACCTTTGTACCTGGTTGGTGGGAATGTAAAATGGTTTAACCACTATGGAAGCTCCTCAAAAAACTAAAAGTAGAATTGCCATATGATCTATCAATTTCACCTCTGGGCATTTTTCCAAAAGACTTGAAACAAGAAACTTGAAGAGATATCTGGCACACTGATGTTCACTGCAGCATTATTCACAAGAACCAGGAGATGAAAGCAGCCCAAATAATCATCAATAAATGAATGGATAGAGAAAATGTGGTATATACATACAATGGAATATTATTCGGCCTTCAAAAAGAAAATCCTGTCACATGCTACAACATAAATAAAGCTTGAGGACATAACACTGAGTGAAATAATCCAATCACAAAAAACATGCAAATACTGTATGATTTTGCTCAGATGATATCTAGAGTAGTTAAAATCATGTAAATACAAAGTAAAATGATGGTTTCCAGGGGTTAAGGAGAGGAAAAAATGGGAGTGGTTGTTCCACGGCTATAGTTGGTTTAGCAAGATGAAAAAGTTCTAGAGATCTCTTATACAACAATGTTAATATAGTTAACAATACTGAAGTGTAGAATTAAAAAATGGTAAATTTTATGTTACGTGTTTTTACCACAATTAAAATGAAAAGAATATTTTAAAAATTTTTAATAAAAAAATTAAAATGTAGAATTTAGATTTAATCTAAAATTTGATTGAGAATCAGGTAATTCATTTTCATAGATAAAAAATAACAAATATCTTGGTATTTATTTTATTTTACATTATAAACTACAAAGGATGAAAATTAGAGATATCAGTCATAAGGCAGTAAAGTAGATTAGATTGTTAACGTGGTCTTAACAGGAAACTGCCTACAAGAGTTTTCTGCTCTTTAAAAAAATTAAAATAGAAAACATTTTAGGACAAACCTGAATGGTGGGGTTTATTTTTAACTAGTTAGTATCAGAGGACCAAGAAGCAAATCTAAATAAAACAAGAACATTTAAAGTATTATTGTTTAATTATTTTTATAAGGGGGAGACCTAAAGTTACAAACATTCTTTCTATGTCTCTCCTGCTTTTAAAATCTAACAAGAAACAGGTGCAAAGTTATAGTAGATACCATATTAATTAAAGGGAATTAGGATTCGGATATAAAGGAACAAATTCTTTAAATTTCCATATATCTCTCTCACAAGAAGAAAATATTAACAGGAATGGATAGAAAGATGTCCCAGTTTTAAAATTTAAAATTGGCCTTAACCACAAACTGAAGAAGAAAGGAACAAAATTTGAAAAGATAGAAGACCACCTTAACATTTTCTTTCAAGCACCATACACCCCAAGTGTGGAAGACTAAAATATTTTGGACAAAATTATAAGAGACACTGGCAAGAATGCAAGAAGAAAGAAACATAATAAGCAAATCCCAAAATCATAATTTTAAAGATGCATAGAAAATACAGCTTCAAGAATGCCATAACATAAAATTAATTAATATAAGTGTTAAAATATAAAAATAGTTACTGAGGATTAGTAAAGGGTTAATAATTAATTCTAAAGCTGCAGACCTGTAATAAAGGAAGAGTTTCCTCCTACCTAAGCATTCCCTAAGATTATTACTTAGAGCTAAATGTTAATTGTGCAAGAACAGAAATTCTTACTTCTTGTCTTTTCTTAAGATCTTCTTTGGCTGCTCCAAAGCGTTTGGTTAACCTGGCTATCTTGGCCTACAAAAAGCAAAAACAGAACAGAAATCAAGTGGCATTATGGCATTAATGGAACCCATGCATACATAACAAGAAACTCACAGATAACAGATCCTCAAAAGATAGCTAACAGCAAAAAAAATAAGGCAAGCTGATTGTAAAATATATATTTGAAAAATACAGAAAGTTGTAATGAAAACTAAAATGACCTTAAACTTTATACCCACAGTTAAGCACTCTGAATTTTCTAAGGTTAGCTTTTTCCTCCTAGAAATGTAGATGTTTGCTCACAAACCAGTACATTTCTGAATATGTACGATTATTTTTTGTTACTTTTGACATAGTTGTAATCACACTTAACTTTCTCACAGAGAATTACGTAGTAATAATAAGCATATCTGTTAGTCATAAAGATTCCTTGCCAAAATTACTTATAGGTGCATGTATAATATAGTGAATCAATATACAGCATTGATTTTATATATAGATAATATATATTAAGTCATATATATATATACCACTTTCCTGATGAATATGTTGATGTTTCTCAATGTTCCGGAGGGATATCTCAGCTGTGGGGGGTTCCCACTGAGAACTCTGGGGTCTAAACCCCAAACTGGGCTTCCCAACTAAGACACCAGAACTGAGAAAGGTACCCACATAACAAATGGCCGTGAAAAGCAGCAGAGTTTCTGTCTGCCAGGGAGAGATGGCTGAAAATGCAGGCACCCTCTTAAAGGGCCAACACAAAGTTTCATGTGCAGCCACTCACCTTGGGTTCTGGCAGAGGAAGGACAAGAGCTGTGAGAGGAAAATCCAGAGATGCTTATTCTGGGGATAGAGATTAGAGGGCGGCCATCTGGATTCCTGTGCTAAGTCATTCCTCCCTAGACTGCAGAGGACATATTTCTGAGACAGACCTTTACCACCCAGGCAGCTTTTGCCTGGGGGGGGGGGGGCAATTGCCCCACCCAGCTGGAAAACATCTGGCCCAAACCAGTGGAGTTTCTACAGCCTGAAGCTCATTAANAGCCTGAGGCTCATTAAGAGACTAAGAATAACAATCAGCCTGCAGGCAGAGACAGACCTCTGGGTACTTTGAGTCTTTGCCTGATTTGCTTCTGGACCCAGAAATTAGAAAAGCAGACCTTGGTGTGACTCTTGGGCCTTTCCAAATGCACCCAGCCCAAGCAGAGGGAGCCACAAGCTGTGGGTCACTGATAGCTCCAAACAGAGTACCCAAGGCCAGTCACAAACAGCATCTGAGATTAGCCTGCACCAGAGACCCTCCAAAAAGACTGAGGGTCCTAGCAGATCTACCTAATACATAGAAACAAATCCAAACAGGCAACCAAAATGGGGAGACAAAAAAAGAAGTCCCAAATGAAAGAAGAGAAGTCTCCAGAAGAAGAGCTAAATGAAATGGAGATAAGCAATCTATCAGATACAAGAGTTCAAAATAATGATTGTAAGGATTCTCAACAGCATGGTAAAAGATATGAAAACTATGAAGGAAATTAAGAATGACATAGCAGAAACAAAGAATACACTGGAAGGGATAAAAAGCCGATTAGTGGAAGCTGAGGATCAGATCAGGGAATGAGAAGACAGGGTAGAAAAAGTCACTGAATCAGAGATCCAAAAAGAAAAAACAATTAAAAAACAGGAGGACAGGTTAAGGGAGCTGTGCGACACCATGAAACGTAAAAATATTCATGTCATAGGTGTTCTAGAAGGTGAAGAAAGTAAGCAAGGGATAGAGAATCTATTGAAGAAATAATGGCAGAAAACTTCCCTAACCTGGTGAAGGAAAAATTCCAAGAGGCACAGAGAGTCCCAAGCAAGAAGTACCCAAAGAGGCCTACACCCAGACACATCATAATTAAAATGCCAAAATTCAAGACAAAGAGAGAATCTTAAAGGCAGCAACAGAAAACCAAGGGTCTGAAACCAATACTCCTCTATCCAGCAAGGCTATCATTCAAAGTAGATGGTGAAATAAAGAGCTTCCCAGGCAAAAAAAAGGCTAAAGGAGTTTATCACCACAAACCAGCATTGCAAGAAATGTTAAAGGGACTGCCGTAACACATTGTATGCAGGAAATGTATTTATACGTTTTACGTTGACTGGTAGTAGAGCGCGCGATGAAAACTACCCGCAAACAATGTGATAATAATAAGTAGAATGCTTGGTAAAGCTCCCCTGTGAAGCTGCCCAGACGAGGGATTTTGTTTGCTAGGAGTTTTTGATTACTTCTTCGATTTCATCAGTTGTATTCAGATTTTCTGATTGTTCCTGATTCAGTTTTACATGATCTCACATGTGGAATCTAATGAACAAAATAAACTGATGAACAAGATCAATCCAGAGCCATAGAAACGTGGAACAGACTGACGAACCTCAGAGGGAAGGCGGGGGTGAGGAAGTGGGTGGGAAGAGATTAATCAAAGAACATATATAAACACATATGCACATAACCCATGGACACATACAATAGTCTGGTGAAGGTGAGGGGGGGGAGATTTTGGGTGGAGTGGATTAATGGGGGGAAAAGGGGAGACATCTATAATACTTTCAACAATAAAAAAAAAATTAAAAACAGACCCCAAAAAAATTCCCCCAAAGGAAAAAAAATAGTCACTTCTAAAGGAGACACCAAACCTTCCAATCTATTTAAGTCCTCTGATAAAGCCTAGGCAATCACCTATGATTCCCAAGATGACGATTTTCCTCTAATATTCATAAATAACTATTATCAACACCCAAGGATATATAGCATAGTTGTATACAGATTCTTAATGCAGATACAGATTTACCTTTCGGTGACTAAAATATTTCAAAAAATATTTTCAAGAAAGGTATGCGAGAAGGTCTTTTGTACCCCAACTTATACAAGAATCTTTCACTTTTCCTTTAGTCAGACTACCTGGTGGGTATTCTATAAATCGAATAGTATGTATAGTATTATTATACAATTTTTACTTAAATACGAAAACAAATTTAAAAATCCTTTAGTGTTTGTTATATATGGGGGAAAGTCTAGATGGATAAATACCAAAGTAAAAGTGGTTACCTCTAGAGACTAGGTTCAGCAGACAATGAGACTGTAAAGAGGACTTCATTTTCACATCATATACATCTACAGTATTCAAACACTTTTTTAAAAAGAATTTTATCACTTAAAAAATTAAACTATAAGCAGAGAAAGAAAACCAAAATTTGAATACTCACTGTCTCCTGTCATTTACTATTCTAAAAAAATAAAAGGACAGCCTTCTGTTGTTTTAATCTAGTAAAGTATACAACTTTTTCTAAATTATAATTCCAAGTATCTGCCACCATATATCTAAGATTAGTTCTCTATTTTTCCAAGTACTCTGTGAGATTTTTTTTTAATTCTATAAACATTCATCCTTTTTTTTTTAGTTCAGAAAGTCATATTCTATTATGTATTTGATTACTACTTCTATTTCATTTGCTCTTGGTTTCTCCCTTAGGGTATATCTATAATTTACTGATAATGGCATAATGGTAGCTATTTAAATATAAGTCCCAAGACTGTTGGAATTCAGATAAATTGGGGCTTGTTTAGCAAAGTAAACAAACCCTCACACTTGCCAATGGGAATGTAAATGGGGTAGGTGCTCTGGAAACCCACTTAGTAGTTCTTCAATAAGTTAAACAAACAATTACCATATGACCATTAATTTCACACCTAGGTATATACACAAAAGATTTGAAGACATGTACTCAAACTAATAGTTGTACATGAATGTTCATAGCAGCACTAGTCACAATCTCTAAAGGCAGAAACAACCCACATGTCCTCAACAGAAGAATTCATAAACAAGATGTGTGTATGTGTGTCCATTATATTATATTATATTATACATATCTGTATAGTATATATTTTAGTTTTTTCCTTAGGGAATTACATTTAACATTTTGAATTAATACCTACTTATTTCCAATAGTAAACAACAAATATTTTCAATAGTATACAAACATAAGAAAATATTACTTAGCTATTAAAAGGAATGTGGTACTGACACATGCTACAATATGCATGAACCTTGAAAACACTATGCTAACAGAACGGGATTCAACACAAAAGTTCACATATTGTATGATTTTGTTCATATGAAATATGCAGAATATGTAAATCAACAGAGACAAAAAGCAGACCAGTGGTTGTCAACAGCTAGGGGGAGGGGGAAATGGGAAGTGAATTTGTAATAAGCACAAGGTTTTCTTTTGGGTTGATGAAAATGTTTTGAGAGTAGACAGAAATGATGGTCACACAACATGAAATTACTGACACTGAAATATAAACTTTAAAACAGTTATTTTGTTATCTGAATTTTACTCCCATAAACACTAAATAGCAGAACAACACAGAAACAACACAAACTAAACTGGGCTTCATAAAATTTAAATAAGTACCATGGTAAGGAGAAATCATTATGGGTGAGTGAATGAGAGAAACAATATAAAGTTGAAAGCCTAAAATAAAAATACTATACTCTATAGGACAGTGAAGTAACTGGTAGGTATTAGGAAAAGTGGATCAAAAACTAGGAGATCAAAATTAAAAATGAGAAAATACTGATTTAAAATGGTACACAACTGAGAAACACTTAGGAGAATGAAACAAGCAGTATTTTAGAAAGATAAGTATAATGCTTGGGAAGGACCAGCAAGGACTTAAGAATTAGTACAAGAGTAGTCATATAAAAGGCTATTAGTATAATTAAAAAATTGGGTAATAACGTCCTTGTGAAAAGTAAGAGTAAGCAAAATATAGATTTTTATAAGAAATAAAAAATTGTAATTTGGCAACTCACTGTATATGTGAAATGATTGAGAGGAATCAGTTTCCAAGGACTCAAAAACTGTCAATAAGAACAATGGGAAGATATTCCTTGAAGATTTTTCTAAGAACTCAAGAATTGAGAGTAAGAAGGAGAATGGGAAGGGAGATTTATTTACGGAGGAAAAGCATGGTTTGGTATTAGGATAAGATACTGAGGCTACAAAGAAACATCCAGGTTTATTAAATGTTAAGAGATATGGACTTTTAAATGAGAATACAAAAGTAAAAACTTCAGGTTCTAAAAACACAAAATCATAGTGGCAGCCATTGGACTGATAGGAAACATGAATGAAATGAAATGACTCTTAAATCTTCAAACATTTTCAAGTTCTAATTCAAAATTCTCAACAGAAGTAGTAAATTAAGTTTAATAATTAATTAGATAACACCAGTACTATAAAAAAGACCCATTAAAGGTAAGAAACAGGACAAGTGTTCTAACCGGTGCATTACATAATTACTACAAAGGCCTTACCATTAATAAAGCTTCACTTGAAACAAAATTAACAATATGAAACCAAGAAAATAACTTTCAGGCTGAAAAATATAATAGATAAATTCTAGTCATATTTGGTTGCAATTTGCTTTATAATTGGGAAACAGTGATTTTATTTTCATGGACCACTTTTCCCTCATTTGTAAAATATAGCTTTAGAAGTGGTTTATAATTCACCATCTGTAGACTATGCTCATATTTCAGATAGCCTAACAGAAACCACACATTTACTTATGACTGACTGAACCGATAAAAAGTTCCAGTTTCTTAGTCTTGGAATAAAATTAACCACTACAACATGTTATCATGTGATCATTTCAGCCAATTAAAAGTTCTGGCACCATATGTTAACATATATTTAATAAAAAATAAAAGTAGTAATTATTAATATAGATTTAAAACTAATGTCTTTAAAACATGGCAGGAAGTGAATTAATATATAAAGAATAACTTGCAACAGATGTTATTTAGTACTTATGACATGTGAGATGATGCCAACCTTTCTTCAATGACCAAAAAAATATTTAGAAAGTACTAGCTTAGATAATTTCTGAGGCTCTGTTATAGGTTAAACTGTGTTTCTGAAAAGCTCATATAAAACATCTGAACCCTGAGTATCTCAAAATGTGACCTTATTTATAAACAAACAGGTACCTGCAGAGGTAATTAGTTTATATGAGGTCATACTGGAGTAGGGTGGGCCTCAATCCAATATGAGTGGTATCTTTGTAAAAAGGGGAGATTAGGACACAGACACACACAGGTACAGTGCCACTTGAATGAAGCCAGAGATCAGGGTGATGTATTTATAAGGCAAGGAACACCAAAGGCTGTCAGTAAACAAACCATCAAAAACCAGAGGAGACACATGGAACAGATTCTTCCTCATACCCCTCAGAAAGAACCAAACCTGCCAACACCTTGTTCTTTGACTTTTAGCCTCCAGAACTGAGACAATATGTTTCTGTTGTTTAAGCCACTCAGTTCATGGTACCACTTTTATGGTAGCCCTGGGAAACTAAGAAGCTCCTTTTACTTCTAACCTTTAAAAGTTAAATGTATTTTATTGTCAACTTAAAAAATGTACCACAAAATATAAGTTATAAAATGGGTATACAATTCAAGTCAGTGTACAAACCTGTAGTTCAGTAAGAACTGTTTTGTGCCTCTTGTTACATTCAATCTTTTCCACTCGTGTTTTCAATTCTGCCAAAGTCTTATCAAATACAGCACACTGTAGAGCACATAATTTTTCTTCCAGCAACCACTGTACAACCTAAACAAATATATATTCCTTTGTTACAGCAAAGAAGGTATTTAAGCAATGAGCAAACAGTAAATATTCCTAAGTACTATATACAACTAACTTAATGAAAAAAAGACTGGCATCCATAACACAATGCTATCTGCTGAAAGCCTCCACCTTCTGAAAAAGAATACTATATACAAAAAGTAGAAAATACCCAGAAGGCGAAATTTTAAAGTAATTTGAAATTGAAGTTTTACTATTTTCTTCCCATACACTCAATCGTGATTTAAAGAAAACATGTTAAAGAACCAGATTTTCACATTTCTAATCTGTTCCAGATATTTTTGTGAGACACTTAAGAATGTCACTGCACTATAAAATTTTGATAAAACATTTCTAAATGCCTACTCACAATTTCCATATTTATCTCATTATAGACCCATAACAAAGAAGATACATGACACATGTCCATGGACCATACTTGAATGACACTGTTCAAGAGGAGTAAACTCTCAGTACACACAAAAGTTTTCAAAATTCTTTCACACAGCTATCTTCATATTTCCAACAGCTCTATAAGAAATGCTAAATAAGCATTATTTATCTCCATATGACAAATTTAAAAAACTGGAAGGAAAAAAGCCACTTTTCCTACTGCCTCATTCCTTTTCCTAGTGTGTGTATTTATACTTATCTTAGTGGATGAATATTGGTTTAAAACCTAGATTATAATTTTATCACTAAATTGATAAGACCTTGAAAATTAATTTCACCTGAGTTTCATATTCCTCTCTTAAAAAGAAATTTGTCATAAACATTGTCAAAATATTCTGAAATATATTAAATACTGCATATTTTCAGTTCTATGTATAGTTTAGCAGGTTGGAGGTAGTGGTGTTAAAGTCTCTACTCCCTTTCCCTAGTCCTTCAAAAGCCTTGTCTCTACCATTTTTAATACTAAGCCTAAAGTACATAACAAAACATTTTAGAATGTAGGGACTTACAACCAGGAAACCAGCTTATTATAAAGATTAAAATATCAACATATAAGACTCTAATGTTTCTATTAGAATAAAGTTCAATATAGGAGAAAAAATAAAGTCTGAAAACTAATGTTCAATTTTGTTACTAAAGCAAATAAAAGACATCACCATATCTCTCTTCCAATTTGATAATTATTAACATATCTAAAATAAATTGTGTAGCTTTTAAAAAGAGAAATTTTACAATTAAATTATTAAGGATAATAAGTTCAATCACTTTCTTCAAGTTCTCTTTTTCTGTGAAAAACCTGAATATGTCAGTAAAATACAGAAAAATAAAGATGGTGGTGCTTTTTACTTAATATGAATTTTAATTTATAATCTGTAACACCTTTTGTAGCTTCTGGTTAATATCTCCTTTGGCTGTAATCTTTACTTGAAATTCTGCCTCATACTCTTCTTCCATATATCGACGGCGTTTTGACTGTACATTGTCCATGTCCTCGGATTTAGAACGTTTTCTTCTGGAAAATTCAACTGAGAACAAAAAGCATAATGATCAATCAGGTGTTTTTCTTAATGTCTATTCTCCATCCTCAGCAAAATATTATTTCTAGCTATCACAATAGCATTCTTAATCAATTATTTTATGAATTGTTTTTGAGATCAGAGAAGTAGATAGGTAGCTTTTAGCTTTCAACTTGAAATGATTTTCAATATGCTAAAAAAGAATTTCCTAACGGCTAAGCAATGTACAATGTAAACAGAGAACATCCTATCATTGGAATCTTCATATTAAGATGAAGAATCACCTAAAAATGTGAATATGAGATTAGAAGAAATCATCTTACATTGATTCCCATTGCTAAATTTTATACTGAACATTAATCCTGACAAAATACAGTATTCAGTCACATTTCACAGATTTCTAAGTGTGCAGAGCTTTAACTATTTAATTCTTCCTCCTCAGTAAATATTACCCTTAGTAAATCTAGAAAAAAAAAACACCCTCCTACTTAATCATCAGCCTTAGGCAAATAACATAATAATAGTCATTCTTTACATATCCTAATGAATTTCAAATATATAAAAATAATAAAATTAAGGACATTATAAAAGTAAATTTTGTAAAGACTAGATATTCAAAGATTTTCACTTAGAAAATGTCTATTTTAAATAGTGGTAACATTCATGAGATCATAAGCAAATTTTATGTGGTTTCTTTTTCAATACATAAAAAGTAAAGCCCTAGCCGGGTGGCTCCATTGGTTGGAGTGTCATCCCATACACCAAAAGGTTGTTTGCTGGATTCCCAGTTAGGGCACATGCCTAGGTTTTGTGTTCGATCCCCAGTCAGGGATCGTACAGGAGGCAAGCAATCGCTGTTTCCCTCTCACGTCAATGTTTCTCTCCCCCCAACCACTCCCCCTGACCTGCTTCCTCTCTCTAAAAATTAATAAAAACACATCCTTGAGTAAGGATTTTTTTAAAAAGTGAAAATACTAAAATCTCCATCCTTATTAAAGGCGAACGCCCTTATGTAATCACACTTATCCCTCTCCACTTCACTATATATCCATACCTGTGTGTCTATTTTTTATATGCCATTCTATTCTATGACTTCTCTTATAATCATAACTTAGTCATACATGGAGAGCAATACGACAGGGAGAGTTACAGAACCCAGGTTTTCTGACTTCTAGTCCAATGATCATCCTATAAACCTAACAACGTTTAGTCTCATCATTTCCCCTTCCCATGAAGCTTGAGGACCTTAAACAGACTGAGACACATACTTCCATTCACTTATATTACCCAAGATAATTCTTATAGTCCCATGCTTTAAACATAAATCTAAAACAATTTCTCTCAAGATATTCAGATAGTACCTTACTAAATATTACGTTTAAATCTTTCTTATTGAATAAAAAGTATAAATAAACAAAATAAAACACTGAAGTTTATAAAATAATTAATAGTTTCAAACATTCTTGGGTTAACCATCAACAAAGTGATTTAACAGTGGCTTACTTAAATTGCAAAATTTTATAGTCATCTCGACATAAAAGTGTATTCCACGGTCTTAAAAACAGAATGAATGAATTACCATTTTTCAAACTAGTTCAGTTTTTTTTGTACATGCTTACTTTTCTTAAAAGGTCTCTCATCTTCATGTATTACTTGCTCTTCTTCCTCTGGTTTCCTGTCCTTTTCATTACTTTCTACCTCTGTAACAAAAAGAGAATAGGAAACCTTACTTCCATTAGAATTCATAACAGCACATTATAATTTACACTTTTGGTGTAACTATCTAGTTAATAATTTTATACGAAATCAGTGTCTCAAAATATGAAATTTTGGGAATAAAAAAGGAGCATGAACTGGTAGAATAGCCAAGTCTACTTTCAAGTGTTCCTGCAAATTCATAATAAACTCTTAACATGGGCAAAAATTAAAAGTATAGATTTTTAAAAACAAACATTCTTATTACTTAGTACTAATAATTTACTGTCACCCACAGATTAATAAAATGTGAAAACAACTACCATAAAGCACTTAGGCTCCTTACATTCAATTACTAAAACTAAAATAGGGATTGTGACTATTACAAACCAGTGGTAAACTACTGTCAAAACACCAAATTATTTTGACCACACCGGTTGAATCATTGCTATTCAATGGTTATGGGACAGTTCATAAAAGAGAAATGAAAAAGCTATCCTAAAGATAATGAAAGTAAAAGCTACTTTTTAGTACCAGTGCCAACAACCAAGCTAGGTACTTAAAATATATTATTTCATATCCTCAATATAATCTTACACTATAAACAGTATTTTTACCATCATACAGCTGAGGAAAGTCAAGTTCAGAAAAGTTATTTTCACAAGAGGCATTTAAAATATAACAATTAAAGGGTGCTACCAAAAAATATTGCTAAAAGTGTCTACACAATTGCATTGCTACAACAAAATCCCAGAGGTACCAGAAATAGCCTTTGGCCAATCAACCTATATCTCATCAACTAATCAATCATTAAATGGGAGAGAAGAACAAATCACATAGTTTGGGTTTCTATTTTATTCCCCTTACATCGCTGCAACTGGCTCCCCAGTGACTTCATTAAGGCATACTGTTTAATCATATTCTACAACCAAAATTAAATAAACAATCACAAAGTATATAGCCTATATAAAAATTTTGATATGACATTTCTTATACAAATGCCAGGGTTTTAATGCCAACAGCCCTGAGGGTAAGAAAGTCAAGCTAAAAAAAAACTTAGAACTTTTAAGTAAAAATAGGCAAAGACCAAAATCACTGATGAACCTATAAAGCTGTAAAATGTGACTATAGTAAAACAAAGCAAAACAAAATAAAAAAGCTAGCACAGTAAAGATTAACTTCTGAACTTTAAAATAAATGAGTATTAAGATCTCATGTCTCAACCCTAGTTTCAATTAACTGAAAATTTTTGCTCCCTTATAGATTGCAAACTCATTACAAAGCATTTTTTCTATATCGTATATAGTTTTCCAAATATTCCTGATTTTAATACTAAAAATGATGACTCCTGAGTTTCCTAGTCCCCAAAGCTTCCAGAGACAGAGTAATTGGGTTGTCTGAAATGAAGGTTTACAGTCTTTATTTAGCAAATTGTCATACCACCCAAAGAACAAAATTAGCCATGGCTCCAATTAGGGTAACTGCAAGCCAGATAATTCAGAACACAGCAGAGCCAATTGGCCTGGTTTGGTCTGCCTCTTTTATTCATATGTTAGCTCCCTCTAGTCTTACAGATATGTCAAGCTTAGCTGAAGATTCCTTCATTTTACTCAAAAACCTCCTGCTATCACCTAATTTCCATTTTCCAGAGATACTTAGAGGGTACGACTGGACTGTCAACCCTTAAATCAAAATACTCATCAGGACTTTAGAATACACACACAGAATTAAAATTTATGCTTGAGTTTTATTTAATGGAAAGAACTCTAGATAAGAAAACTGGCATTAACAGATTCTATAGAAAGGAACAAGGCCCTTTATTTCTTTATTTGTTACCAAAGTCTCAAGAGAATCTGAGTGCACCTCTTTCACCCCAGAACAATAACCAAGGGCCCATGCACATACATTTTTATATATAATTTCAAGTAGTTCCTGAGACCTCTGAAACTCATCTGAATGCTTAAGTAAAAATCTGTCTTCATTCACAGATAGTTCCTGTTATAATTCTTCTGGTATTGAGTACACCCTCATTACAAGTTGCCATGTTTTAATATACAGTTCTGTGTGTGGTATTCTTTCAATCAGACTAGACCAGCAATTTTCAACAGCCGTGTTGCAAGAATTTTTAAAACATGCAATGCCTGATGATTTAGTCAGGGGTACTGACCTCTTTTCCCTTAGACTGTCAAATAAAAAATGACAACCAACACAACAGCCGCCCAGTGTGAATGAATCAAAATTACACCTATTTTTTTTTTTGTTAGGTTGGTAAAAAATATATTTTTGGGTATGCCACAGAATTTTAATAATTAGTTTGTGTGCACCATGAGATGAAAAAGGTTGAAAACTGCTGGACTAGACGGTAAGCTCATTAGGAGCAAGTACCATATCTTATAATTTTAGTAATCCTTTTAAAACCTTTGGGAAAGAGTCAAGACAAAGTAGATGTTTAATATCTATCTGTTGATCATTATTTTAATAAGATTCCATTAAGTAAAGGTAGAAAAAGTATGTTGTAGAGGATTAGAAGACAGATTTAAATCAGGGAGTTAAATTTCCCATTTTCAGAATTACCCTCTATAGAACTTTACTCCAAGGAAATATGGACAAACTGTTGCTTTAGATGAAGGGTTGGAAAACATTTTTTATTTAATCAATGATAAACAGTATGTAAACAAATGGGTCTGACTATAAAACTTTATTGAAAAAAAACACACAAGGCCTACAGGCCATAGTTTGCCAATCCTCTGCCTTAGATTATCAGCTCTGTAAGAACATTTTAAACAAAACAAAAAAATTCCTATAGATTAATTAAAGACAATATCGTCATTAGAATAGGCAAAAGAGATGAACGGGCAATTTATAGATAAGTAAATACAATTGTCCAACAAACATATAAAGATTCTCAACCACATTAAGACAGAAAAAATATGGTAGTATTACTGATAATGTGACTTTTCTGGAGAATTTTTTTTAATACTCACCTGAGGATATTTTTTCCATTGCTTTTCAGAGAGAGTGAAAAGGGGAGGGAGGGAGAGAGAGAGGGAAAGAGAAAGACAGAGAGAAACATTGATGTGAGAGAGTTACATCAATTGGTTGCCTCCTGCACGAGCCCCAACTGGGGCCAGAGATGAAGCCTACAACCGAGGTACGTGCCCTTGGCCAGAATTAAACCCAGGACCCTTCAGTCTACGGGCCGACACTTGAACCACTGAGCCAAACCCGCCAGGGCTGGAACTTGTTTTGAAGTTTTAATTAACTAGTGCAAAGTTCCAAGTAATGTCTTCAACAGTAAATTTTTGTGCTCCTTTTAAAGCAAAACTCAGGATGTTGGAGAGAGTATTATTTTATTGTCTCCAATTCACTTCCTCCTATTTTTATGAAACTCAATTCTCAATTAGGCTTTCAATTCCACTGCCCCTTATGAGGTGATACGCAGGTCATTGAATATTCCTCTTTCATCTTACTTGAACAAATAGCAGCATTTGATACATTGAGTTAACTACCCCTCCTCCTTCAAACATTTTCTTTACTCGACTTCTACCACAACAAAATCTCCTGTTATTCTTTCTACCTAAGAGCTGCTCAGTTGGTCTCCTTTGCTAGTTCTTCCTCATCTCCTCAACCCTTAAAGAATACCAAGAGCTCAGTCCTTGGATCTCCTCATATTCATTTATATTCACTCTGAGCTGATCTAATCTTGTTACGCAACTTCAACTAATGCCTGGCTATATGCTGTCTACTCCCAAATTTTCTAGACAGTCCAAGTTTTTGCCCTGAAATCCAGATACATATCTAAATTGGGAACAGTGATTTGAAATTGTTTTTCCTCCTATACTCATTTCCTTTTCCAAAACCTGCTTCATTTTATATCTTCCTCAACTCTGAAAAGAAAAATGTGCAACTTACACTTCAATGTAAGGAGTAACAGGTTCCTCAAAGAAATTGTTGAATACAAATGGGTAAAAATAATAAAGAACTGCAGCTGAATAAAACGGTGACAACAAATTAGTAAATTTTAATTTACTAAACTATGACAATTCGATCACTACTAACCTGGAGCAAAAACAGACAAAAACCTTGAATTCTATTCCCATGCAATTATCCTCATTAACATTTATGCTCATCTTACTTATCTTAAATATCCAATGAACAAGGGAAAAGAAATCAACCAGATATTTTTTAAACTAAAATAAAATCTGGAAGAAAACTATGTCAGAATTTAACATAAAATCTGTTAAACTTTAAAATAGATTTTTTCTCAATAACATTAATAGCATTTTTTTAAAAATAAAAAGTAAAGAAAAGCTCTCCCTCCTACTCTCCGTAAGAAATAGAATGAGAAGGCCCAAAAAGGAGGGGAAAAAACAAAGAATGCATTAGCCCAAAAGCTAAAGAGAGCCTTAAGAAGGAGGGACTGTTTAAGAGGTCATCCAAGTATGAGAGAATAAAGACACAAAAAAAGATGCCCCTAGATTTAACAACATGAACATCAATGTTACTTCACTGAGAACAATCAGGAGGGGGGCTGGTAAGGTTGAAATCAAAATTCAATTAAGTTAAAGAGTAAATAGGAGGAGAAAAAAACAGTGCTAGCTTTGTTATCATAATTTGAAGAATGGCCCTAAAAGAGAGGAAAGAGATGTGATACTAGATAGAGGACAGTACATGATATGTAGTGTACATGCAGAGTACAACTAATATGTGTACCTCCTCTAGTGCTGTTTGAACTTTCCCAGAGAGAAATCTTTATTTCCTTAGGCTTCTTAGACTATGACTTTAATAATTTAGTGAGTATCAGTTATTATATAGTATCATACAACAATATGATAGTGTCTTCAGGCCTACTAAGGTATATCTGCAATACTTTTTAGGTTTCTCTTCTACCTTTGTAAAATTAAAACAGCTTTTCTATTTGCTTTCTGAGATCTTTCATTATTTTTGTTGCTGCTCAGACCCATTATAACTGTCATATTTAAAACAAATTTTTCTGTTAGTACAGCACATAAATATGTTAATAGTTAAAGGGAAGAGTCAAACTTCAGTACTTCCATTTATAATTCTGTGTTCTGAAAACATTAAGTTAGTTAAGAATAAAAAATATGATGAAAGTAATACCTCAGCAGATGCACAGCAACAAATAGAACATATAACAGATTCTGATACCATATAAAGAGAACAGAGTATAGTTTATGAACCAATGAAAAAACTACACTTCAGCTCACAATATACAATATTTCCTTGTAGGAGAAACCAAAAAAGTAAAAGTTTAGTTACCAGCTAATAGCATACAATCAGATAAAAGTCTAAAAGTAAGTAACCAAAAATAAAACCAAGTTTGAATTTTTGAAGTATGCAACATGGATGGCTTAATATTCATCTCTCTGCATTTATAGCATTGTGTGGGAGGGATGGTCTCCAATATAAAGATTCTGACATAAAAATAAAATGTATAAACTCATTAAATAATAACTACAATTTCCTATGACTTTCTTATACAGACTACCAAAAGATTTTTTAAAGGACTTGCCCCAGTATCACTCTCTATCTAAAATGCAGATTTCATGTCATTCTCCTCTGCTTGAAATTATTCAATGGCTCCCCTGTGCTATCAAAACACTTTAGCATTGTAAAGAAGGTCTTCCATGATATACTTCTCTTAGAGCACCAATTACTCATTCACTCCACACTATTTACTAAGCACTTACTGTAACCCAATTATTATTTTGGTTTGATGGTAGCGGCTCAGCACAGAGGTAAAAGCAGTGACGATGGTAAGAAAACACTGGATTCTAGATCTATTCTGAAGGTAAAGCCAACTGGATTTCCTGATGGACTGGATATAGGATATGAAGGGGAAAAAAAGAATGGCTCCAAGGTTTTTGGCCTGAGCAAGTAGGACAAAAATGCCATTAAGAGGGATTATCTTCCCTAAAACCCTGTTTTTTATACACTGATAGTGAAAGGCAAGTGCTTTCCTGAATACATCTTATATTCTCATAAAGTTAACCTCCTGTAAACCCCCAGAATACCAATTTAACATTATTACTGTATTCGTAGCCTTGTATTTAATGGCCTGTGTTTTAATTCTTGTCTGCATCCTGAGGGCAAATACTAAATTTTATCTTTAAATCCCCAGAATCACAAAGAGCCTGACTTGCCACTATACAGGTTTAATGAATGAATAAATGCTCTTTGGAAATAAAGTCATCTTTTAATAATAAAAAATCTCTATTTCCAAAAGCTGGTATGATATATTGGGGGGGGGGATATTCCTGTGTATCCTAGACCTGCGTCATGTTTTTATTCTTTGAACAAACTAGAAACCAGATGCTGTATTTCATGCTATAAAGGCATTCCTCTCAGAAAGCTCTAACAGCCCTGGCCAGGTAACTCAGTTGGTTAGAACATCATCCCGATATACCAAGGTTGTGGATTTGATCCCTGGTTAGGGCACATACAAGAAGCAACCAATGAATGTATAAGTAAGTGGAACAACAAATCGATGTTCTCTCTCTCTCTCTCTTTCAAATCAGTAAAATAAAAGAATTTTAAAGAACGTGCTAATAGAATGTGATGCAAAAGAACATAAAGGGAGCACCTTCTGAAAGGAACTGAGAAAGTTTCATACATGAATATTTGAGTTTGACCACGAAAGCGAAGCAGGATTTTTCTCATTCTCTCTTTTTTCTCTACAGATTTAGGTTACAGAGAGATCATTCAGAAGATGAGAGGGAAGAGAGTAGATCGGGTAAAATCATGAAGGCTGAGGAAGCAAATGGATGAGGTCTTCCTCAAATAGATAAAGAAGGCTTCAAGATTTCTGGCTTCCACCAATGGTGGTGTCATTCCCCAAAGACTATTAAAAGAAATCAGATGTCAACGGGAAAACTAATTGTAAAATGTGACTTGTAACACTTCAAGCAAATAAACTAGTAGGTTTTTATATTCTAAGTTATCTGGTTTGCTAAGTGATAGCAAGAACAATTGCTAGCACTTTGATCAAGTATGCACTGACTTGAAATTGTTATCTCAGATTTATGTTGGACCATCTTTAGCTCTCTTCGTAGACATAAACTTAACAGTTTATTAAAGCTAATCAAAAATTTTTAAATGTAAATAATATGCTAACCTGGAGAGCATGTCTCATTTTGTGATATAACTTCAGACACATCTTTTTCACCTGAAATATCCTCTTCATCAGAGAGGACCAAAAAGGCTTCTTTTGGCAAACTCTCACTACTCTCTTGTTTAGATGGTGAACCAAAAGAACCTTCCATCTTCTCTTCCAAATCTGGATTTGTTTCATCAATTGGAAGGAGACAAGTTTTAGAAAAGCAAGTAAGCTCATCTTCAGCAGGTGCAAGCTTTTCCAAAATAGGAATAATTTCATCTGTTTCCATAGAATCTGTATTTTCTAAGATATTCTCACTTTTTTCATCTTTTATAACATTTTCACTAATGGTTTCTGCAAGTTCTGTACAATTTTCATCTTCATTCTTTTCACTTTGCTCAATTTCCATACTGCTAGATATAGCCTCCTCTCCAAGAGCAGGTTCTGTGACAGCATCTTCCTCTACTTTCTTTTCATTTTCAGGAGGTAGAACTGGACAAGTAAGTGTATCACCTGCTTCTAGAGTTTCTTCATCAGCATGAATATTACTATCAGCTTTATTTTTCTCATCAAATGAGAAAATCTCATCTAACTTTTCATCATCCCCATTTTTTTCAAGAAAATCATCTTTATTGCTACTAGGTTCTGTATTGTCAGTGTCAGGAACTGGCTCACAAACTGGTACAGGACTTGGTTCAAAGGTGGGATCAAAGGCTGATTCAGAAGTTGGTTTATGAACAGTCGGTTCATCAGAGATCAGATCACCAGAGGCCTGATCACCAGAGGCCTGATCACCAGAAGTCAGATCACCACAGGCTGGACCACCAGAAGCCAGATCACCAGAGGCTGGATCATCAGAGGCCAGTATTCCAGAGGCCAGATCATCAGAGGTTGAATTATCAGTGGCTAGGTCACTGGAGATTGGTTCACTGGAGACCAGTTCACCAAGGACTGGTTCACTGGAGACCAGTTCATCAGAGACAGGTTCACTGGACATTGGTTCAACAGGGACCAGCTCACCAGAGACTGGCTCACTAGAGACCAGCTCACCAGAGACTGACTCACCAGAGGTGGGATCACCAGAGGCAGGCTCATCAGAGGTGGGAACACCAGAGGTGGGATCACCAGAAGGGGTATCACCAGAGGTTAATACTTCAGAGGCCAGATCTCCAGAGGCTGGAGGATCCCCAATAGCCAGATCACCTGAAGGTGGATCACCAGAAGCTGGTTCAGTGGTCACTTTAGAGTTTAGTTCAGGAGTTATACTACTAGGAGACGAAGTTTCAGACTCTAAATCATCATCTGGCTTGTTTTTTACATTAACATTTAAGGTACAAGGTGTTTCTTTCCATTCTGATGTACTTTTCTCAGGGTTAAAACAAAGTTCTTCAATGCCATTCACCTCATCCTTGTCATTAACATAATCTGTATTTTCCAAAGGTGAGGCTGGGTCCAAATCTCCATTTTCATGATTGCCATTTAACAGCTTGACATCAGTTTTCAACAGTTCTTCTCTGACCTTGTACACTGCATCCAGTTGTTGACGATCACTCACTCTCATTGTTTTTCGAGCCTTAAAGACTTTTTTCTGAGGTTCTTCTATACTATCCATTTTGAATCTTTAAAAAAAGGGAGAGAGAGAGAGTTTAATAATTGAAATAGAAGCCACAGGCTTACTGCAAATTGATCTTATAAGCAAGCAGCACTTCATGCAATTTTGAAATAATGATCTAGGGAAAGCATAGTAATCCTTGCTCTACATTAATTTTTATATTTATTAAATTTATGTAATATAACATTGACAATAGGTATAGTCCACAGAAGATCAATTACTGGAAGTATTGGAAAAAAGGTGACTAGTTTCTAGTTTTCATTCTCAGTAAGCTAATGGGTTCAGAGAGTCAGATACAATATATAAGCTTATGAAAGTAGATGGAAATAAAAGAGTACATGGAGAAAGAAAAATAAAAGTATAAGAGAATGAAAACAGTAGGGGAATGGGAAAAAAACAAGGAGGAAAAATGAAGAAACACATAAGGAAAGATTATATTTGTAGCCAAGCATATCTAGATGAACAAAACTGAAATTATATTAATAAGAGATTGATATCATGAAAGTGAAAAGACAACTCACACAACAGAGGGAAGTATCTGCAAATCGTTTATTTGTAAAATAATGTATCTGATGAGATAACTTGCCTCTGGAAAATCTAAAATGCTATTATAGCTGAATAACAACAAATTTAAAAATGGGCAAAGGGCTTGAATCGACATTTCTCTAAAATATATACAAGTAGCCAATAAGCCAATAGAGAATAAGGAATAAATATGAAAAGAGGCTTAACATCATTAGTCATCAGAGAAATGCAAATGAAAACCACAATAATATAACACTTCATACACAGCAGGATGACTATAATCAAAGAGGAAAACAGTATTGGCAAGGACGTGGACAAATTGGAGCTCTCATACAATGGTGATGGAGTTGTAAAATGGTGCAGCTGCCTTCAAAACCAGTCTGGTAGTTCCTTAACAGGTTAAACAATCATTACTTTTCAATCTTTCTTTTTTTATAAGGTATGTATGTAAAGCTATAAATTTCCCCCTAAGCACTGCATTAGCTGCATCTCATATTTTGAAGTGTTATATTTTTACTGTTGTTCCGTTAAAATATATACTAATTTCTATTGTAATTTCTTTCATCAGTGATTTAGAAGTATGTTTCTTTAAAAAGTAACACATTATGACCATGTGAAGCTCATTAAAAAAATACAAGTTTGGTTTCATATTAAAAAATCAAGCAATATCAATTACAAGTGAGTCATAAAGCATTATGGCTTTTTTTTAGGCACAACCATGGTGTCCACTTGATAAAAATTAGAGCCCTAAGCCCTAATACCTCAGAATGTGACCTTATTTGGATAGGGTCTTTGCAGAGATAATCAAGTTAAAATGATGTCATTATAAAGGGTCCTAATCTATAATGACTGGTGTCCTTATAAAAGGGGAAGTTTTATACAGAGACACACACGTAGGAAGAACACCATGTGAAGATTGGAATTAGGCTGCCACAAGCCACAGCTAGGAGAAAGGTCTGGAACAGATCCTTTCTTAGCTCCTTCAGAGGGAGCATGGCCCTGCCAATATCTTGATTTCACATTTCTAGCCTCCAAAACTGTGAGACACTAAATTTCTGTTATTTAATGGGGGAAAAGTAATATGATTCATCACAAAAACAGAATAGAGGGAGAAATAAACAAAAGATCTCAACAGATACAGAATATATTCGTTCATTTGACAAAATTCAACACTGACTCATTATTAAAACTCTCAGAAAACTTAATAGAAGAAAATGACTCAAATATAAAAAGGATATATACAAAGAAAACTACAGATATCATACTTAAATGTGAAATAAGATCAAACCAAGACAAGGATGCGCTCTCTCACCATTTCTGGCCAGTGCAAGTAAAGCTAGCAAAGGGGGCAAGGATTTGGTCCTAGAGAAAGACAATGTCACTAGTCTATACTGGGGGAAAACAAAAGTCCTTTAAGGACTAAAATGTACAGGGAGCAAGAATAATGCTTTCACATTCTCCTGCTCAGTAGGAATGATGGTAGGATATACTTGCTTTGGCTGGAGAAGGGAAAAAAGCAGCCTCTGAGGTATCAGAACTTATCTGAGGCTCACAGGCAGGCCTTAATGTTGTTATAAACTGACCTGATGCTTACAGCTAAGTCATATTGTTCTCCCGATAGACATAAAACCATCACTACATTCAAGTTAAGTAAGGTCTCAGTGCAGAGGTTGCACTGTGATGGTTTTAATAAAACCTAATTTGAATGTAGTGATGGTTTTATAAAATATCAACCATCTCCCTCTCTGACTAAAAAATGAGTAATGGCTACTTCTTTATCAATTGCAGCTTTATCCTCACTGTAGTCTGTCCTCACTATAGGTAAGATTTATTGAGATACCCAAGCATAGAACAGACCCCACTTTCTGACAGCACCCAAACCAGAGTGAGGTTCTATTTCCTCAAACTCTCCCCAAAAATAACCCAACCTATGACCAAATCCTATACTAGGTTTTCCTTTAACACCCTCTTACTAATGTGCCTCACTGTTTCCCCATGGTGAGCACCCTCCCTCACTGCAACAAATAATAAACCCAACTTGTTCAATTACAGCAGGGGTGGGGAACGCCTGGCCCTGCCAAGGCAACTGCAAGTGGGACTCGAAATTTAATAAATCTAGGAGCTTTTAACATAACTAATTTTTAAGTTGATAACTGTGTATGTCCTGTGAATGATGTTATAAATATCCAGATGGTCCTCGGCAGAAAAAAGGTTCCCCAACCCTGAATTACAAGTATGTTCCTGGTGTTTCATTGTTCCTTTGGCTGCCAGGTATAAAACAATGGCCTAGCCCACTTGCTGGAGGCCAGTACAGCTTTAGAACTACCACTCTGTCATAGTACTTCTAGATTGTGGTACATTCTGCATTCATTCTGCAACATTAAGAAAATTACTTATATTTCTTAGTCTTCCTAGCCTTTTAATTTAAATATGGAACTGAGTAAAACTATTTAGAAAAATTATTCTACAACTGAGCAGAAACTTCAATGCAAAATTATTTTAGGTACTATTTTAAGGATTATTAACTGCAGTCTAAAATTTAATTTTCAAGTTTTTTTCCACCCACTATCCATTCCAAACTCATGCTAACTGAAAAATTTTCTGCAAAGAAGATATAATGCAAATTTTGTAGTCACTTTTCTCTGCTGACTCCAAAGCTACAAAAAGAATTAAATTAATAATAGAAGAAGTATGGCTCCCCTTTAAATATTTTTAAATACTGAACAGTAATTTTTTGGACATTGGCTTCATAATACCCACATCTCTCAACTGTTATATGAATAGTTGGCAATTATTATCAGTTCCATTAAAAATAAGCATTACTCTAAAAAAATATATTTTCATAATTTTTAGTAACCCCATTAAGAACATGACATCTGCATACAGAAACATGGATTTGAACTCCAGCTCTCCCATGTACTTATGAGACACAGAGTAAGTTACCTAACATTTCAATTTTTAGTTTCAGCTACCTTAAAAAGGAAGTATCAGTACCTGCAACAGAAGTTGTAGTGATGAGTAAATGAAATCCTATACATTAAACACTTAGAATGTTTTAAGCACTCAAAAAATGTTATCGTAATTGTCTATATATATATATATATATATATATATATTCAGAATGTTTTAAAGCTTAAACTAGATAATCTGAAACAAATTTCTCTGAAATACTTTTGTTTTGTTTATTAATTAGAAAACCCAACATGTAAACATCACCACCAAATAATATTTAATAAATTGTGCCCAGCCAGTGTGGCTCATTGGTTGAGCATCAACCCATAAACCAGGAGGTCATGGTTCGATTCCCGGTCAGGGCACATGCCTAGGTTGCATGCTCAAATCCCCAGTAGGGACAGTGCAGAAGGTGGCTGATCAATGATTCTCTTGTCATTGATGTTTCTATCTCTCTCTCCCTCTCCTTTCCTCTCTTTGAAATTAATAAAAATATATTTTATTAAAAAATAAAATAAATTTTAAAAAACTAAATTCCCACCACCAAATAATATTTAATGAAAATAAATACAATCTAAGCAAGCTGATTCTATCAACAAAACTACCGTTCAATTCAGAAATAATAAAGTATTATACAAAGAATTACAGAACTACCATCTATACCCACAAGGGAGCACACTACAGCCATTTACCGGATCTTTCATGGGTTCTAAATATAATGGGAAAACAAACAAAGCAATAAGGAAGTAGCATGGATAACCAGTTCATACTAGTTCAGCCACATCCATGCAAACCAATCAGCAGTAGGTTTTTAAAATGTTTTGCATAAGCAAAATATATTTAAGAAAGACACACATTAGAGAAGGGTGTGTTACCTGCAAACAAGTCTCCATGGCTATATTACCTGAACAAAACCTTTCTAAGGATCATTTTAAATACCGTCATCTGTAACTGAGATGCCATTCACAAAACTATCCTACAAAAGAAATACTACTTTTTTAGGTGGCAACATTACAATCATGAAGCTCTCACATGCCTGTAATCCATTTTCCCAGGAAAAAGCATTTATATTTTACAGTAGAAAATGTCTACCATATCTAGAAGTAAATATGTAAAATGTGATGAACTTTCTGCTGAAATATTCTTTCATGAGGAAGACAGTAAAAATATGTTTTTAAGGTAAATATATTTTCATGAAGAAGATAGTTTTTAAAAAATGTTTTTAAGTCATATATTTAGATTCAAGAACTGTAGGGGAATACCTTCACCAATAAAATCTTTTTGTACAGCATTAACAAGAGTTTCACCTTTACTCAAAAAATTTATATTTAAATAACCAAGAAGAGTGTGTTACCTGCAAATAAATCTCTATGTCTTAGAATTATTTTTCAAATTTTGGGTGAATTATTTTTAAGGAAAGCCCAATGAACCTCTTCTTTAAGTGAAAAGATTATTTTCTTCTCTGCTTCATCCCCCTCCACCCACTCCTTTCACTCTTCTTTCTAGCAAAGAGATCACAGCTATGAAACA